AAACAAGCGTGGAATAAATTGCAGAGAAAGACACCCATCGGTGGCACAGCTGGGCAACTGACGACTTTTCATTTACCCTTCAGGCTCCACACGGAATTCAAATTCTCATTATGGTCCCGCATAAAACACAATCCGCACTTTCAACAACGACCCTGAGAAATGCAGCGGTGGGGAAAGCTTTAATGCACTCTTCCCATTGATTACAACTCTGCAAAAAAAAAAAAAAAGGGGGGGGGGGGAGATGAAAAGATTAGCTTCAAACACTTTCATGTGAACAGCTAAAAGGAAGCAAATCCGGCATGGTAAAGCAAAGCCCTGGGCTCTTTCAGACGTACCGCGGCCACCGACACGACGTGTTTGCGGCTCGCCCCACGACACGTTGCCCTGCCAACATACATTCTGAGTCACCCAAGCAGATGTAATGCCATTGCCACAATGACTCCCTCTTCGCTTTTTCTTCGAAAACTTGTTAAAGGGAAGATTCCGACCTACCTAGGAAATGCTTTTAATCAGTTTAGTTCCGGAAATAACTATGGAAATTCAGATTCTTCCATTCTGTTGCTTCTGAACATCATATTGTGACAAACGGCTGATGATCACCGCTCTTCCCCCAGAGCGTCGGGAGGAATGACGTGACTGGCAGCCGTTCTGAATCCCGCATGGAAAGGTCTGAGCGAATAAGCGTATGAAAGGCCAGCAAAAACGAAGCTTTTGGGAAAAAAAAAAAAAAAAGAAGAAGAAGAAAAATGTCAAAATTGCCCATCACTCTTCACATACCGATCCGATAGCCATCCCCTCCTTTGGCAAGAGCTGTGCGTGGCCTTTTGTCTCAGTCCTTGGAAAGCGGGGTCCCGGGGACTCTGGACGGAGGTCACGCGTACCGTGACGGACGGAGGTCACGCGTACCGTGACAGACGGCCATGCGCGGGTGAACAGAAGCCCACTCGTGGACGCCAAACGAGCTTCAGAAGTGTGACAGTCACGGAGGTCTGACACACGGGTCTTCCCCAGCTTACGATGGGGCGAATCCCGATCAACTGGAAACATCGCTGCAAATACAAACTGCCTACAGTAAGTGAGCTCCTTTCCTTTCATGCCTGACCCAAACTACTATCGTTCCTTATCAAACGCTGCCAGTGTCCAAATTTGGGACTGCATAGACGTGCACCGTCCGGGATATTCCGGGACTAGGAGAAGAAGTGCTTTGTAACACTGGCACGGTTTTCCAAGCATGTGACCCTCCCGCTCCCCGGAAACCATCCCCCTGGGAGGAACGAAACTGTAGAGACACACATCCACCGGAGACATCCCTGGGGTTTAGGAGCAGAGTCCAAACCTCCGGGAGGGGACTTTGGGGACCTACCTGCTCTCATCAGCCAATGCGCTCGACCCCGTGTGGCACACATCCACAGCTCCTCGTGTGTCCCCGGGTCGTGAGATACGGGGCTTAGCACGGATGGGGAGTCGCCTGGACCCAGGGCGGAGAAGCCCAGCAAAGAAACAGACCACATCCTCGAGGCGCGGCCTCCTGGGGAGACCTCCAGAAACAGCGAGCCTGGTGATTTTAAATGTCTTGTTACCCAGGAAGAGAGCTGAACACAAGCGTCCGTGGGGTCTCATCCCAGGTTGCCTGGAGTCTACCGGGAAGGCTGAAGTCCATTATCCAGAGGACATTATCCCGCTGTTTGTATGCTGACCTTCGGAGCAGGGTCACAGGGTGGGAGAGGTCCAGAAAAGCCTTCCCCTCTCTCCAGTGGGGGCCGGGGGGGGGGGGTGTCCATCCACATCCCATCCTCTGCTGGAGCCCCAGTAACCCTTCCCGGGGTCCACATGCCATCATGCACTAAACAACGCATAGCTTCACTACCCTCTGGCATTTTCAAAGATCTTTCCATCAGAAGGGCTGCCAAAGGAATGAACCTCAAAAGGTAGAAATCTCGGCGCCAGGCTCTCCGGACTCTGAATTTGAGGAGAGTCAAAGGCTTCTGCCCCAAACCTTCTCCACCGCCACCCCCCGCCCCTCACCCCACAGTCGACCCCGTACCCAAAACCTGGCACACAACTTCTCCCAACTCTACATCTACATCCACGTGGGTGGGACGGGGACAGAAGTTCTTTAATATTAACCGATTAGCCCCCCCCCCACCCCCACGGAGCTCTGTACCTCTCGGCCTGTGCCTCCATCGCCCCACCCCAGAGCCACAGGCCAGCGTCACTGCTCCGGGGAACAGCGTTACAGCCACAGATCAAAGGACAGGCTCTGGGGTCTGGATAACCAGGGATGAATCAGGGCAAGTCTTCAAGCCCCAGGCAGGGCGCAGAAAGGGGATTTCTAGGAGCGGAGACGGTCTGACCACTGGAGCATCCCTGAGATGGAGTTTGCACGTCAGAAACCCCACCGAGCTCTGAGGGCGCCGTGTCCTGGGGTCTGTGGGGAGAGGGGGAATCCCCACAAAGCAGCAAGGGCTGTGCGGTAAGTCGAGAGTCGGTTCAGAGTCTGCCCACCTTCCCTCCGGCCCTCCGTGCCAGAGCAGCAGCTGGTGACTCTCGTGGGGCTAAGGGTGGCCAGAATACAGAAGAGAGTCGAGGCGGTGCACCGAGCGCCCGAGCACCCCACGGCCCGGCGTGGCGCCCAACAGCAGAAAGAGACCCTGGAATAGGGTGACACGCAGGAGACCTGCGTAAGAACCTGGCAGGTGTCAGTGGACACTTTCGAAGATGCTGGCAGGAACTGACGGCCGGGACCGCCCCCCACCCCACCCCCCTGCACCTCCATCACTATGTACCCCCCACCCCCGGCAGAGCTCACCCAAGGTTTCGGAAGAATTAGGCAGTTGCGGGGAGCATCTCTGAATTGATGGAGATGGGGCCTCGAGACAGAAGAAATTAAGTTGAGATCATCTCATGTTACACGTACTGCAAGGCCGGGCTTGTGGGTACAGGTATGTCCCCGCCTTGAATGTGCTGCTCGGCGAGCGTGTTTCTATCTGCGCTTAGGCTGCTAGGAAGCTCAGCGCAAGTTGCAGTCTATTGTCAGGAGCACATATTCTGGTCATGATTTACTGACTTGTCTGTCATTGTGCTCGTCCTTGTCCTTGCTCTTGGGATCTCCGCCCATAGTTGGCCGTGGTCCCACTATCTATATTATTGTTACCCAATCAGAACCCTCAAGGCACATATGCACCTGAGAACATGTGTGTCTGTCACATAGACACTTAGAGTGACTTATAACCCTGGTTTCAAAATTCTCAGCCATAAAGCCCTTTGAGGAACTAGGAGCCCTCCTGTGGCAGGCTGGGTCTATGGGACCCGGGGGGGGGGGGGCTGCTGGGGGCAGTCCACCATGAGCGTCTGGGTGAGCCGACATGCCCAGGGGGCTCTCCTCTATGGTAGCAGTCCCCAAACTCACAGGTGAGACAGGGGCTCGTGGCCCGGGTCCCTCCTTGTGTTGGCAAACGGCTCTCTGTGCAAATCAGCCTTAGCACAGCTGGAGGGGGAAAGGGCAGCTTTGGGGAGCTGGGTCCCCCCCTCAGGTCCTGCCCAGACGCACCTGCCTGCTGAGGTCCCCACCATTCTTGTGGCCCCACAGAGAGCTGGTGAGGGCACAGCAGAACTGACCATTCTGAAAGTGCTCTCTCAAGCCACCGGTAAAGCGGGTTTATTTGGTAACGCACAGGCCGACAACGCACTCATCACCGCGTGGTCTCAAGAGGGTCACAGATTGGTTTTGTCTTTTAAATGAAGAGTTTACCCTGTACACAGGAAGAGAAAGCAGGGCCTAAAACCACAGAAAGCGGGGAGTCTGGGTGGTTCAGTGGGTTAAGCGTCCGACTTCGGCTCAGGTCATAATCTCATCGTTGGTGGGTTCAAGCCCCGCGTCGGGCTCTGTGCGGACAGTTCAGAGCCTGGAGCCGGCTTCGGATTCTGTGTCTCCCTCTCTGTGTCCCTCCCCAGCTCACACTCTGTCTCTCTCTCTCTCAAAAATAAATCAACATTAAAAAAAATTTTTTTTTAAAAACTGGATGCTCAAAGGGGCTCCTGGGTGGCTCAGTTGGTTAAGCATCAAACTTCAGCTGAGGTCATGATCTCACAGTCCGTGAGTTCATGCCCCACGTCAGGCTCTGTGCTGACAGCTCAGAGCCTAGAGCCTGCTTCCGATTCTGTGTCTCCCTCTCTCTGCCCCTCGTCTGCTCACGCTCTGCCTCTCTTCCTCTCAAAAATAAATAAACATTAAAAAATTAAAAAAAAAAAAAACTTCGCAGGGAAGTGTCAATGGGCTATGTGACATGTGGCCCTGGGGGCACACACCAAGCCACACACAAAGTCCCGGGCCCTGGACAATTCTGGGCCGACGGCAGGCGAGAATCTTCCGGCACGCACGTGGCCTCGAAGGCTACACTGACCCAGCATCTCCTTTCCCGCAAATTTACCACATGACATTAAAAAAAAAAAAAAAAGAAAAAAAGCACGAAATGTTTTTCCTTTTCTATCACCGCCTCCAAGCTGACCCCTTGGGTTTTTGCTTTATGGTAGTGTTCTTGTTTTTTTTTTTTCAACGTTTATTTATTTTTGGGACAGAGAGAGACAGAGCATGAACGGGGGGAGGGGCAGAGAGAGAGGGAGACACAGAATCGGAAACAGGCTCCAGGCTCTGAGCCATCAGCCCAGAGCCCGACGCGGGGCTCGAACTCACGGACCGCGAGATCGTGACCTGGCTGAAGTCGGACGCTTAACCGACTGCGCCACCCAGGCGACCCAGCGTTCTTGTTTTAAACACGTCAGGCCGACGTAACATGCAGTACAGATGTGTCGTTATTACCTCACACACACGCCACCTAAATGTCACACATGCTTTTAAAACTGAGACTCAAATGCCTTTTTAGGAAAAAAAAAAAACTTTATTAAAAAAAAAATAACTTACAAACGGAGAGAACTTTCTGGAATAAGACCGCTCGCTTTGTGCACAGCGTCACAGCCCGGGGCAGCTGTGCTTTGTTTCACCTTTTTCACGTACTTTTACAACACCCATAAGATCACAGGCTGCATGACAGAGTCGTTTTGTCGTTCCATACCCCAAAGCACCACACAGACATAAAACTATCGTAAATAAAGCCTTTCCGCCAAGACTGGCGTATATTTATATACTTATATATTTATAGATATATCCTTCCAAACCAGCTAACAATTAATGTCATCCTTAGTCAACACGGAAGTCAAACTAGTCTTCAAACTACCACGCTCTGAATACAAGTCAGCGTTGTGCCTCCCGTACGATATTTAAAATATATTTAAACTTTCAAATACGTTTATCAGGTACACCGATAGTGAGAAAATAAAGTCTTAAGATTTAAATACAAATCGCCATAGAAAACCTTCGGGGAGCACGGAAAGTCCTATTTTACACAAGTGCAGGCAAGCCCATCCCCGCGGCGGGCTTGGGCCAACAGGTCGGTCACACCTGCGTCAGGAGACACCGCCAGGACGCACGGCCGCGTGGCAGCCGCCACAGCGGCCCGTGGCGCACGCTCCCCTCTGCCCGCCACTCGGGCGCCCGGCCCCGAAGCCACCTGGCCGCGCGCTCGGGAAACGACGCATCCCGGTGCCGCGTGGCAAACGGGCACCTTCGGTCCCCGGGACCCCGCAGGGCGCGTCACTTGGTGCTCTGCTCCAAGGCCGAGTACTCCGTGTCGGACGCTCTGGAGGCGTCGATGAGTTTGGTGAGGCCTGTTTTGGCCGAGTACTTAAAGATGAAGGCCTTCATCAGCTCGTACCTGTAGTTACGGTTGATGAAACTGTAGAGCACGGGGTTGACGCAGCAGTGTACCAGCGACAGGCACTGCGTGACGTGCAGCGCCGTGAACAGGAAGTTCTCCAGCTGGCAGGTGAAAGGGAGGTAGTGGAGGATGGAGAAGATGTCCAGGAGCACCACCACGTGGTAGGGGAGCCAGCACACGAGGAAGACCACCACGTAGGAGAAGATGATCTTCCGGCTGGTCTGCTTCTCCTGGTCACCGGACGCCGAGATGGCTCGGGCCAGCAGGCAGTAGAAGACGGCGATGACGCAGGAGGGGACGGCGAAGCCCAGCACGACGGAGACCAGCTCCATGCTGATGAGCCACTCCTTGACGCTGTGCTCGGGGTAGAAGGAGCGGCAGTAGGTCTCGTTGTTGGACGCCGACGTGACGGTCTTCAGGTAGTAGGTGTCGGGCAGGGACACGCAGAAGGCCAGCAGCCACACCAGGACGCAGACGGTGCGGCGAACCGCCTTCTTCCTGCGGCTCGACGTGCCGGCGAAGTGGGTGAGGGACAGGTAGCGGTCCACGCTCATGCACGTCAGGAAGAAGATGCTGCCGAACAGGTTGATGGAGAAGATGAGGTGCGTGATCTTGCACGTGAGCTCCCCCATGGGCCACTGGTTGTGCTGCACGAGGCTGACCACCCAGACGGGGATGGTGACCACCACCCACAGGTCGGCGATGGCCAGGTTGAGGATGTAGCAGTGCGTGTCGTAGCCGGTGGTCTTGGCCTGGATGGTGACCCAGACCACCACGGAGTTGGCGATCATGCCGATCACGAAGATGAAGATGTGAACGAAGGCCAGCGTGTACAGCAGAAGGCTTTTGTTGGGCATGTGGGGGCACAGCACCGTGTCCACGACGATGCAGTCGCTGCCGTTGCACGGCCAGCTGACGTCGGAGAAGTTCCCCGGTTCCGAGTAGTCGAAGAGGTGCAGATCCATGGTGCTGAGGGCAGGAAGCAAACGGCCTGCACAAAAACCACACAAAGAGGGATGGAATGGAAAAGCGGCTTCGTTAGGGAACGCCGGAGCGCCAGCCCATGTGCTTTTCCGGCGCTCCGTAAGCTCGGCTGTCCCGCTCGGGCTCGGTGGCGTCTTCCCAAAGAAAGGACAAAAGCAAGCCGCCGCGACGGAGCTCTGCCCCACCGCAAAAAAAAACCTACCCGGAATCTTAAGCCCACGTGGTGCTAAAGACAGCAAGAGTGGCCGCTGTCTCTATCTTTTCACGGCTGTGTTCTCAAGACGTCAGCAGCCCGGCCGTGCCCATGGGGTGAAATCAACACGGCCCAGGGGCCAGCGAAGCGTCTGACAGCCCAGGCGACGCCGACGGCTCGCTCATTCTCCGCGGAGGACAGCGGAGCCGTTTTCCCCACGTCCCAGAGAATGGCAGTCGATCAGGTCCTGGCAAAGCTGCATGACCAGGGTCCTGTGCTGGGGTCTTAATGACAGCGCTGCAGATTCCCTCCCCAGCGTGCGTCAGAGGTGTGACTGACTCGGTGCTTCTGACCTTCCTGCAGCACGTGTGTGTGTCGGCCCGGGTCTCAGGCCGCCTTCGCCCCGCGGTCCTGACGACCATTTGGCACGCAACGTCCTGCAGCTCGGGTGCCGGGGTGCACCCCAAACCCGCCCCCCCCCCCCCCGTCCCCGGCTGGGCCGCACGCTTTTCAACTAAGGGCAACCAACCGGCTGTGTTCCCTTCTTTTTTTTATCCAACGCTTCGGGAGCGGCTTGTGCCAAGACCCGGAGCACAAAAGTCACCACCTGCCACGCTTCTGGAGGGGCAGACACCTGTCTCCACCGTCTTCCCTGCTGACCTGGGGATCGTCACCATTTGCACATCCATAGAAGAATCCCGCTCCCAGGTACCACGGGGCCTAGATGTGATTTCTCCCGAAATGCACCCACCGTGAGAGCTGTCAGGGGCTGTCTTCTACGGGTGGGGCCCCCCCCCCCCCCCGCAAACCTGAGGGTGCTGAGATCCCACCAGGACCCAGCCCCGGGACGGCAGCCCCACTGTGTGACCGTGGGAACAAGGGCGACCTGCTGAGAGTTACCTCACAGAGGAAGGTGTTTGTGCTTCCTTTCCGCATGTCACGGGTAATGACCCACCCCGAGTCGAGCCTCTGTGCCAAGTTCATTTACAGTGGACTCCAGGTCACCTAGGTGACCTCCCTGGAGGATGCACAGGTCAGTACTCAGGTGGCTACGCTCACGGTATGAGGACACACAGCCGGGAAAAGCACCCATCCCGAGACCAGACCTTCCTGGGTTGGAATCCTGACGCTCCCCTCACGGGCGGTTAACTTGAGACTAGTTGACCTGTTTTCCGCTGCATTGTCAGGGCACCAGAGCCATCGCGGAGTCACCCGGGCACCAAAGGGCCCAGTGCAGAGTCTAGCACATAGGGGACATGCTCTGCAAAAGTCCACCCCCACCCCCTCCCAACCCTTTAGCAAAGGTCACAGCCTCCCTTAATTCTTGGTCCACGTTTGAAACTAACTCTTGCCGCCTAAGTAATTGCCCGTCCCTGCCTGGAAGGGAAGGCAAGGGTGCACAGAGATGGGCGGGGTGATGGGTTTACCTTCCGGATAAATGAACAGAGTCCCTGACAATGAGACATCCCACTGCCTCCCAGGACCGACTTCCTCAGCCTCGAACCCACAGCAGGTGGATCTCAGTTAGTGGGGATCACCAGCAGATTCCTGGGCACTTCTCCTCTGTGGGTTGAAAGTGCCCCTTGGTCCCTCTCCTGGTGACCTAACCAGGCCCCCTGCTGCTAAGGGGTGAAGGCTGGGCCCCCCCGTGAAATGCCCGCAGCCAGGAAGCCTGGTGGTCCTCGGAGCACCCTACCAGGAGGGTCCCGTGCCCTGCAACCACCAACTTGTGCAGGACCGGACCCACAGCAGAGGACGGCATCCCGGGAGACTCAGCACGACCAAGTTTCAGACAAAGAAACTCCTCGCGTGACCAGACTCTGGACCACCTTGTCTTAAGAGGCAGCTCGAGGACCCCCACAGGACACGGGGCAGCAGAAGAGACAGGGGTCCCTGACCCACTGGGTTGGCCTCAGGGTGGACAGCCAGCCCCAGACCATGCCTTGAGGCCACTATTGCCACGTCCCCCTGGCCACTAACCTGCCCGGGACTGATCCTCCCCACCCCGACCCCTGAAGCCCCCGATTCCAGAACAGAACAAAGCAAGGATTTCAGCTTTGCTTTCTTCCTGGTTCCAAGGCAGTGACCCCTTCTCCCCCCATTTCCCTAAAATGAAACACATCTGCAGCACGGCCTAGTTTATAAGGTGCTTTCGCCTCATGACCTCATCTGACCCCAGAGTCCCTGCAGAGCAGAGGACCCCTGCTGGAGGGCAGAGGAAGGCGGGAGCCGGGTGGGGCTCCCTCCTCCACCCGCACCGCTACAGCCCTGCAGGGCCTCAGCAGACACGCCCCGGAGCCCCAGATCTGGACTGTCGGCTGGGGCCAGAAAGGAAGGAATGCGCCCCAGCCTTTGTCACCGTGACTGGGTCCAAGCCCCCCCACCTCTCTGCCCACCACAAGGAGACAGTGAGCTCCCGTGCTGTCCAGTGCACAGGCGCTGGGCGCTATTCGGCGTGCACAGCCATACCACACAGGGCAGGGGCGTATGAGAAGCCACCTGCCTCTCACGCCCTGCTCTTTTGGACCCTCTGGGGCTCCTGCCAACCGTCGCTGTTCCCAGAGCTTGAGCTGTGGCCAGAGAGGGTGCGGGCCCCATCCCGGGTTTTTCCACCTCTGCCCTCTGAGCAATGAAAACCTGTTGTAGCGATCACGGGTCCTCCTAGGCCCTCGTGGGGTACACCACCCAATCCACGTGTCCTCTCCCTGTGTCTGGGGGGGCACAGTAGGGCTCTTCCAGCAAGGGTTGATGGTCTGAAGGGCACAACAGAGGCTTCGAGGCCCCTGGCTAGAGCGAGAAAGCCAGCTGGCCCGTCCATCACCGATCATCCACCACCACTCGGCCCAGGAGCTGAAGCTGGGGCCTGTGCCCTGACCACCCGCCTCCGGGGCACCCGCCTCCCAGGCACCCCCTCCCAGGGCAGGAGGCCCCCGCGGTCAAGAGAAGCAGGGAAGCACAGCGAGGAGACGAGACCAACTGGGAATCAAGCCTTCCACGAATCTAAACGGGGACTAAGGAGAGTAAAAGGCCTCACCACAGCTTAGCCTCTTGTCATGGCGGTATCTTCCATGCATTTGGCTTTGGAGACAATCAAGGGCCGTTTCCAAAAGAGAATACGATCTGACAAAGACAGTCTGCATTTTCTGTCAAATGCTGTCTGCCGCAAGGCCTGATGACAAAGCTCCCGGCAAAATCTGAGGGTGGAGAGGCCCAGGGAGGGGGGGTGCTGATGAACTACAGGGGCCACTTTAACGCCCAGCGTGTCCCACACCAGCTCCTCAGCTGCCCTCCAGCAAAAGCTGGAGGTCACCTCAGCCAGTACACAGACAGACAGACTGCATTCCGCACGAACCCCGGAGGATCTGCACTCCCCGTCTAAGTATCAGGCCTCTGAGCCAGTCTCTGGTCTCTCTGTGCTGGGAGGCAGCGGAGGTCTGATGACACCCAGACCTGCAGGAGACCCCTCATCCCACCGGGACCAGTCACCTTCTGCTTTGCACAAACCAGCAAGTCCTTTCCCTCCAGCGTGGGGCCAGAGCTTGGGAAAAACTCCCAGGGTCAGTCAAACCTGCGCACTGCCCGCCTCCCCGTGGACTCAGAGCCCCGAGGCCGGAGGGTGAGACCCACTTCGACACCTAGGTTCACACGTTGCTCCTCTCGAAAGATTCAGGAGTCCCCAACTGCACGAGCAAGCATGTTTACTGAAGCACTATTTGTTAGCGAAAAAATTGGAGACAGCGTGGATGTCCATCAGCAGGGACTGGGTTGTCAAAGCGTCCACCTTCTGAAATATAACACAGCTCTAAGAAAAATGAAAGGGACCCTCCTTTAGGAACATGGAAAGTTACAAGGTAGCCCAAGTGAAGGCGACGTGCCTGTGCACACGCGTCGCATAATCTCATTTGCGTCCCATAATCTCATTTACGTAAAACAGGAGCAAAAGGTGGGTGTGTCTTTATATGCAAATACATGTGCACAAAAGCCACAGAAAAAAGATCTGCGATAAGTATAAAACTTTGGGCAGAGGGGACGACGGAGGGGGGATTGTGGATTTGACTCTCTAAACTTCTGTACCACTTGAAATTTGACCTCGAGGATTATGTACATTCAGGAATGTTCCACAGACCAGTAAAGGCTCCCTTTCCATTGTCTCCTGGACCATGGAGACCCCACTGACAACAAAAAGCCGGACTTTTCACTGTACGTCCCCTCGTCCCCAGCACTCACTGAGTCTTAACTGACCGCTCCTCTCCCCTGGGGTCACTTTCTATAGACCCTTGGGGGTCACCTGTCCCACACCTGTACTCAGGGACCATCACACTTCTGCCATTTCCCTATGGCTGCGGAGGACCCAGTGTCTGTCTGGACCTCCCCACCGGCCTGGGGTCTGCAAAGGGCCTCATCCACCACTCCTCTTCGCTGGTGGTGGAAAGGTTCCTCTTTGTCAATTGGAGGACTTTTCTGGGAGATGAGCCTCTCCTATCTCAGGCTGATTATTCATCAACCAAGTATCCCAGACAACGAGTGAACTACAGCCAAGTGGCCCGAGGCATTCGTCTGGATCCAAATGGTCCGCCTGAGCTCACCCGGTGAGCTGGGGGGTCAAGCCAGAATTAGAAGTCCCCAGGGTTAGTAGGCAAGGGGTGGCGGTCAGCCTGCAGTAAACATGTCCTCTCCTTGGCCGAAAGTCAGTCCCTCCACGACGGAGACTGCCAAGTGTTCCGGCAACCGGCTGGCGTTCGCCAAAACTGCCTCCTGTGTGTTTGCAAATTCCCATCCCAGACCAGGAAGACTCTTCCCGACCCACCCCTTGGCTGCTCCTGTCCCAATGAACGCATCCTGCTTCTCCCTCCTCGTCCACCACCCAGGCCACAGGTCTCCATTCTGTGTCACTGCGTTCACTTCTCTCCACATTCTTCCTGCCCAAGTCCCACACCCCGACGACGTCTTCACCTTTTTCCACCATGGCCAGCACAATGCAGGGGCTCAACGCACTCACGGTCAGTAAGTCAGCGGGGTTCATCAGGCTCCGCCACACCCAGTGATGCGACGCCATCCCTGGGAATGGGAGTCCAGAAGATTCTGAGCCCCTCATCGAACTGAGACAAACATCAACGCTGTCCAGGCCCCCAAATCTTTGTGGAGCCTCCTCCGCGAGGGGCACTGCTCTGGGGCATAACAGACCAGAATCACCACGCCCCGCCCCCCAAGAACTTGCCAGCAACTGAGATGGGCAGCAAGGTGTGGGATTTCCCCTCAAGTGGCTTATGGGGGCCTTCAAGGAGAAGGGAAGGCGTGTACCAATGAGGCACCACGAAGAGCATCACTGAATTTGGCTGAGGCCACCCTCCCCACACACGAAAGCTGGCGCAAGACTCCGTCCAGGGCAGGGGTGCAGGGAGCGAGGGGGTCAGGCTGGGGCAGTCCACCAGGAGCCACAGGGGTTTTGAGCAAGGAAGTGGCTTGGGGCAGAAAAGGCTTTGAGGGCAGGGGTGCCACAAAGCCGGGAGAAGGCGCACAGCCGGGTGCTCTGGTGGCCGGGGGCAAACAGGCGGGAGGAAGGCGCTCCCCGAAGTCCCCAGTGGTGCAGGTACGATTTCACAGGCCAGGCCAGGGCTGGGAGGCAGCAGCTCAGACCCTAAGGGGGACCCTCCGGCCCTCGGGGCTCTTTGGGAGACCTCTGCCTACGGGTGACCTTTTTTATTGGCTTTCTGCCGTTTGGGATCTGTGTCCCCCCAGGACGGAATTTCACAGAGCAAGTCCGCGACGTCCAGATCCCATCACCCTGTTCAGCCTCTCTCTCTGCTGAACCTCTGCAAACCGAGGCCAGGCCAAGGGACCAGTTGATCTCGGTTTGTGGCTCAACATCAGCTCTCTTCCCTTTCGCAACTTTTCCAGAGACTTCATCCAGTGGGAGCTGTGCTCTGGCCTCCTTGCCAAAGTGGCCCCCCCCCCCCACTCCACCTTCCCGCACAGCCGGCACGCGGTTCGCTAAGGAGAATCCGCACTACCTCTAAAAACGTGAGGCAACGGCCCAGCGCTGAGGTTTGGGTTCTGTTTGCCCCTTGGTTTTGGTGTTTTTACCGATGCTGCATTACATCCAACGGGGCAGTCCGGGAAAGCTCCGGCCCTGGCAGGCTCCCTGCGGCCATCTGCGAGGGCTGACAACAGATTGGGGACTGGTGGGTCCCCCAGTGCCAGGCAAACAAAAATAATGCTGTCTTGACTGCCCATTCAGTCTCAGACGGATACTTACTTTATACAAGTAAGGGGCTGCTCTGCGTCAGCAGGAAACTCAAAGGTCATAAAGAGAGAGTCAAGGAGAAAGAAAGCTTCCTACCCTGATTCAGATCTAGGCCACCTACCCTACCTACCTGGGGGGCGGCGGGGGGGGTCCTCACCATGCTTCCTGTTAACACACGGGGTGGGGTATCTTCATCCACCTTTAAGCATTTGGGGGAGAAAATGAACCCCCACATCCAGAAAGCCCATCTGGTCTATTATGCTCAGCTGCCCACAGGGAAACAGGGCTGTGCCCAGAAGGGCAGATCCAGAGAGCCCCACGTCACAAAGGCTGCCGTCTGGGTTGGCCGGGTGTAACCAGAGCCTTAGTTCCCACCCAGCTCAGGACCTGGACGAGGCAGTGGGAGGTCAGCCAGGCTCTCGGCCAGACACAATAGGGTTCCCAGGAGAAGGCGACTCAGTCTTAAGGCTCTGCTAATAAAACTCGGGGAAGATCCCCACAAAGGTATCTGTTACAGCAAGAAAATTGGAAGACGCTGCCGACACGGTCCCCCACGCTGCCCACTGCCCTTTGATCTGTCCCTGGCCAACAGCCGTCCAAAGTCACCACTGAGATACTCAAGTCCCTCTATCCCTCAAGAAACCCATCAAGTGTTCGAAATCAGACAACCCCCTCTTTTGCTCCTTTCCCATTCTCTCTCTCTCTCTCTCTCTTTATCTCCGCTTGCTTGTTTTTACTTTAATAGAAAATGTGTGTCCCAGGGCTCTGATTTTCCAGACGTGAGAGACACTGGACGTGACCCAGCCTCTGGGTTTCTTTCTACGCTCTACCCACGTGCGGGAAACTCAACGAGAAGGCGTTCTGACACCATTCTTGTTGCTAAAAGGAAAACTAAGTTCAAACGCTGTGCTTTCCAGTTCCAAATTCCACTTGTGCCCTGCAAAACCACTGAGAGAAAGCTAAAGTCCTCAAGTCCTGAAGGTTTTTTTTCCTCAGCTCGGTTTTACTCTCAGCTCGGTTTTACACTTTACTTTCTAGAGTGTCCGTCCGCCAGCCTCAGGTCCGAGTAACCTCAGCCAGCTCCCACATGCCTCCCCGAAAACAGAAACCCCTCTGCCCCGATGATCACACAAAAAGCCACTGTTCCTGATGAAGTAGGTTTTTTTGTTTGGGTTTTTTTTTTTTTTTCCAATCCAGAAAGCCTATACTTTGCCTGTTCTGGGTCTGATTAGAAACCATAATACCTTCTCAACTCTCCCAGGACTCACTGTTAATAAGGGAAAAACTCACCTCCAAAGTCCTGACTCAGTTAAGCACCGGCATGCTGCCTTGGCTACACTTTCTGGAACTTTTTTAAAACTATGACTGCAATGCATGCCCCTCTAAAAAACCGGACAGGCAGCAAAACACAGGCGTTTCTCAATTTTCTTGTGCCCTTCCGCCCCACCCCCACCCCCCAGCCCCAGGAGGCTGTGTGGCATCCAGCTCCCGCACATTCAAGTGTGCATGGCCAGAGACCCGGAGAAAAAGAGCAAATTGTTTCCAAGCTAGAGCGCCTATGTGCAACTTCGCTTTAGAGAAAGGCTTGGCATCTGGGGAAGCTCGCTCCTGCCGAAAGGACAGGCAGTTTATGCATTTAAAAATCTATAGAAAGTTAAGCACAGACCCCAGCAGCCTGCCCTCTCTTTTCTAGGCAAGCCTATTTGATCTCCACATTTTCCTGGAAGAAATAAAAGGACACAAAGGCAGCATCTGCGTTCAAAAAGAAAAGAAAAAGTTACCACATTGAGACCTTGCAGAATGAAGTTTCAGGGGATGTCAGCTCACCGAATCCCTTCAAAGAGCCATAAACCATGTCAGGGGGGCCCTCTGCCACTCCTGGAAAACCTAGTGATCCTGTTGTGAGCAAGTGAACTGGGGGGGGGGGGGGGGGAGAAAAAAGAAAAGAAAAAAGAAAAGAAAAGAAAAAGGAAAGGAAAGGAGAAAAGAAAAGGAAAGGAAGAAGAGAAGAGGAAAGAAAAAAGAGGAGGAGAGAAGAAAGAGAAAAGGAAGGGGGAGGGAGACAGCCAGTCTGACTTTTACAACTTCTCATTCTCTCTGGAAGTTACAAGTCTTGGCTAACCACCCACCCCTTGACCTCACTCCAAACTTCTGCCTGCCAGTCACCCCTTGAATCTTTATGCAAGCTAACAATATAGAACAGCACTCCTGTTTTACCTGAAGGGTACATTTAAACGGCAAAATCCTAGACTTCTGTGTGTGTCTTTATTGTTCTCTAGTTGAAGTTGGACTTCCCTTCCGAGAGCACGATACCTACTCAGATTAGATCAGCAAGGATGCAATCGAGACACCAGAAGCCCGGGCTGCATTTAACATTCACCCTCCCAGCTTCCCGGCTTACAGGATCTGGTAATCCCCCAAAGCACCGAACTCGAGCACATTCTGGAATCCCACAGTTCAGTGCTTCACTTGAGGATGCCTCTTAATAAAGTGTACGTCCTTCTGGAACTACGGATTTCCTGCCAATTCTCTTTCCCGACTGGTATCCCGGCACGAGA